TAACATAAATGAGCGTAATAGGTGCAGCATGGCTTTACCATGTCTTTTTCTTCTATATCAGACTTGCAGCTTGCCGCTACTCCTCTTCGCCATCGTGCTCTTTTGATACTTAATTTGTATCAAATAAAATGAATCAATGCAATAATAATATAAATTGAATATATTTGAATATACCACTTTTTATAACTTGAACAATATAAAGTATAAGTTATGTATATACTTTATTGCTTATAATGTATCTTTTACTAATGGATATATTATACAACCACAATAACAGAATTATTAATAATATAAGGTAACAGCTGCCATTTATACATATAATAAAAATGTAAATTGCAAATGTCTGTAAATTTGATATTTTTTAACAAAAGTGTTAATTTAGAGGGACTAAAAATAAGTAACTAAATACTTTTCTATGATTTTTTAAATTGTCTGTCCGTCTGTCTGTTGTTTATGAACGTATAACGTATAAAGTACTGATTTATTTAAAAAAAGAATCGTTAAAAAATCTTACAGCGTATCATCGAGTTATATTTTATAATTGTTTTATTAAAATAAGGTTATTTCTATTAAAAGTTATGATTAATATTTTGAAGTATGTGTACGAATTTGTTTAATGTTAACGTTCCGTTGAGTCATCAAGTGCATTTTAATCTAATCTGAGAAATTTTATATAAATGACATTAAATAATGTTCTTACGGCCGACAGACAGTCAGTTAAACTGATCGGTAAAACTGACGTACATCCAAAAACTGGCCGTAAGTGTTAAAATCCTAAGTTGAAATTTTTAACTGATGGCAAACCACGGATTTTCCGGGAGCACGTTAAACTGACGTACGTTCAAAAACTGATCGTGAGTGTGTATTTTTAAGTTGAAATTTTTAACTGATGGAACTCACGGATTTTTCCGGGCGCACCGTAATCCACTGGCTTCAGTTCGTTTGCATCAAGCCAAACAGACCGTGAGTGCGCGTGCGTATAGCAGGGCTCCGTCACTTGCTGGTCTCACGCTATATATAACTACCGGCTAGAGTACTTCCGGGTATACATGTATAAGTGGGGTGTCGCATAATCTAAAGATGGGTTATTTAATTTTTAATAATTAAAATAAACAGTTAAAATAAATAACATATTTATTAAATAAATAAAATTAACCATAATTAATAAAATCATCATAATATCTGATTCAACTATTGAAATTGTCTTAATACCCTTAATACTTATCACGCTTGATAATATCTTTTAATATGTCAATAATATTATTTTTATTTAAAATAACAATATATATTCATGTATAGAAAATTATATTTTTAACTTAGAGGAGTAACTGATTTAGAACCAATTTAATCTGTGACCACTTCTAGACTAAAAATTAAAATTTAAGTCCAACACAAAGTGATTGTGTGCTAGGTGCACACACATATTTCTGAGAAAGTATTTTTTGGGCAAAAGGAAGAGTTCATCTTTCCTTTACTGCTTGTTGACGATTTCATCTACCCCTTTCTTACAATTTTTTAAATTTAGGTTTGATCACAATATTATACTTAAAAGTGTTGTAAACGATTTCGTTGATTTCGGCGGGGATTGAACTTAGGTTTTTTGCACACCATGTGCGGATAAGCAACCACGGCACTAATTTTGTTATTAGTCTGCCTATAAATTTATTAAATTATGTATAAGTCCTATGCTTTCAATTATAGAAAACCTGTCATTTGTATCATAAGAGTCAAAGGTTCTTTTGTATAATGTATTAATCACGTCGAAATTTTTGTCTGTTACTTTTAGGAACTGGTGATAGTAGCGCGACCTGCCTTTAAATACGAAATAATGTGTTTTTTTTTTGTTTAATGACTGCGCCATTGTGGAATGAAGTGAAATATTTTATTAATTTTTATAAATCGTCCTGTACTTCTGACTATAAGACTGACCAAACTGAACTCCTGTTATGTCATGTATTGTGAATGATACTTTTATGTATGTATATGCATAAATTACATTGAAATTTTTGACTCATCACGCAACCAAAAAACTTTGCATTTTTTATTACTTTCTGAACGTAACTTAGTTATAAGAACATTTTTATGATGTATGTGTAGGTAGAAGTACATTCAATTTAGATAACTGTATATTATTTACTTTGTTTATATTAATATTCCTCTAGCATTTAGCTACACGAGTCACTGTTCACTTTTAATAAGTATACTTCAAATTTTTACAATGTTGGACAGATTTGGCCAACGGTTATAATGTTAAGTGGGTGTTTTATATAATGAATGCGTATAAAACGACATATACCGCGGGTGTCGCGTAGGGCGACGAAGGGGAACTGAAACAAAAGATGGGCGGCAACATATTCCTGATAACAATTCAAAATTATAAAAACACTGATGTTGCAAACCCGTCTACCATGCGTCAGCTATGGTGAAATCTCCTCTAAGAAGCAAACAGCAATAGATTTTGATAGGCTGTAATGGATGGAAACATCTACAAATTTTCAAGAACAATAAATACGCGACTAGCAGAAGTGGATTTGCAGTTTGGAGGGGTTAGAGACTTGAGACTTTTGTCGTATTACTTTATCACCCAAAAATATCAATAGAATTATCTATTGTTCTTCTTTTTTATCATTAGCCCGAAAAAGTCTACTGAACGATATGGACCTGTAAATTTAACGGGGATTTTCCATAACTGTCACAGGTAACAGGCGGATTGACGATCGCATTACGTATAAGATTTCTCACACCTTTGTGTTCCTGCCCGTAGCCAGCCTGAGTATTTTATGTCTGCTCCGACGTAGCCGATATTTTTATACCACCAAATATCAAAAGCCATTAGATTTTTTATCGTTTCCCATGCTTTCCGAGGCACGGGGGCGAGACACCGCCAACCTCCTCACTCCAAGCAACTACTGAGAATTTCTTGACAGAAAAACTCAATGATTAATTTTTTGGCCCGACCCGAGATTCGAACCCAGGACCTCATGATTAGCAGTCGCACTACTACAACCACTAGACCAACGAGGCATTATTGCATCATCCCTCCTTATCATTGAAGTTTGCAATGCAAGAAATCTTATCTATTTATAAATTGTAGTAATTGTTTTTTCTTCTGTTCTTCTTCCTCTTCCGTCCATTTCCTTAGTTTGTTCTTTATATTTTCTTAGTGCATTAATATCTTCACTTAGTTTAATTTTAAATATAATATTGAACGGATAAGTAATCTTTAGCGTCGTTTAAAAATATTCAAAACAAATGCTAACAAAGATTCTACGCGAACAAAGTCGCGGATACAGCTAGTAATGAATATAATTTTCTCTGAAGTGTTACATACGAACCTAAAATAACATGTGAAATAAAAGATTCAAGGCACTTAACAATTCTATTATCTTAAACTTTTAAGCATTTTCAAATTGAGTTAGTTAGAGTACTTTAATCTATTATGTTGTTTAAAATTTAATTATTTAATTATAAAATTTTAAACTCTCCTAAATAAACTCTTAATGACTTTTATTGTGATGTAAAATAAATTAAAAATCCCTTATCTGAAATTTCTATTGACAAATTTTAGTATTTGAAATAATAAAATTATTTTTAGAATTGTTTAAATTTATAATCCATCAATTTGCATCAGAAGAATATAAGAAAAGGATTCCACAATTGTAACCAACAGAGAGATGTAAGAATCAACTGGATAGCGTTATATCGTTATATATATATATATATATATATATATATATATATATATATATATATATATATATATATATATATATCCCAAAGAAACAGCAAGCTGAAGTGGCAATATTCAGCCTTATAACTCGAAAACCCGAAAACCGAAAAGAAAAAAAGGTTCTTTATTGGCAGCCTCGTAATAATATCGCGCTATTTATTCAGATGGAATATTGCGCCTCCCCCAAAGTATGCAACGGTTTTCAAATGTACCACCTACATTTTTCGACTTATTGCATCTTTTACAAAGTCGTCAGTCGTTACTCTATCTGGTGGGTGGTCACCATATACTTCGTTTACCGGCAAGTGGCTGCCACTTTCTTTCTATCGGTTGTCGGTTTTTCGAATTATATGGCCCACTTATTGCCACTTCAATTTGCTGATTCGTTGGGCTATGTATGTATCAGTTTTGAGGATATAACACTATCCAGTTAATTCTTACCTCTCTGTTGGTTCTATTTATGCAATCCTTTTATTATCATAAATTAAAAGAAACAAACACGAAATTAAATGATGAACGTTAAGGTCACTTAACTGCTGGCTTTGTTCAAATAATTAAATTTAAGGAGACCTAGGAGCTTCTTAATGTATAGAGGAATTAATCGACGAAGACATCAATAATAAAGTTGTGTGTTCGAGGATGTTGTTTGATATTTTGGTTATCAACAGTAAAACACATTTGATTTATAAATTACAATGACTTTAACCCATATCATAACAACATGTTAAAATTTTCTTGACTAAATTATGATATTGCGCGTATTACAAATTGAGAAGTCAGATGACAGTTGCGGCGGTTGGTGTGTTCAACTTCAATCAGAGTGTATTTTAGTGGTTTAAATAAATTATTTTTTTAAAGTTTTGTCAGGTTTTAATAAATTCATCATTTTAGGAGAATTTTATACATATATATAGGTTAAATATAACACATTTTTGCCTCATTGGATCAGATAAGGTTTTTATTGCAGCACCTGAAACATCTACGTGGTTTATCACCAGCTCTTGGAGCGTAACAGAAATATCAGTTCCATAAATTAAAGGCCATAAAACAGATTTTAGCATCATAAGCGTTCCTAAAATTACATGCTTGATATACAATATATAGAACAGTATCTTACTTGCATCGTTGTACTTAGTAAACAGCATTGTTTAATGTCATTAATGCAATGTAATGTGTACACGAATACTCATGCATGTAATAATAATGATGGATTTCTCCCGTATGAGTATTACAATATATTTTATTTTAATATATATAATTTTCTTAAATCTTAACACCGAGTTTCGATTAGTTCTGGTTCAGATAATGTTAAACTACATGAGCTTGCAGTAAGGGAGCTTAAGCTATAATTATCTGTAAGATCACAGTTTTCCTCTGATTCATCTCCGTTATAGTTGCTGTGGCTATAATCGAAAGTCTCATCTTCATAATTGTTTAAGTAATAGGTAACATTATAAATTGAATTCATTTTACTGTCTCCAGGTACATTTCTTCCAACACGCGTCGTCGGTTGTGATAATATATCCATAGAATCGCTTTCATTTGAAACATCGCTTAGATAGTCATCTCGAATACTATAATGACGCTTTCTGTTGGCCATGCTATAATAGTAGTCAGCACTTCGATCCTTTTTTATTAAATTAAAATTTTCATCAAGCGGTACAAAATATGTTTTAATATATCCTCGGCCCTTCACAAAAGTTTCACCCCGATATAAAGTTAAAATACCACATTCGTCTAAAAGTAACGCAGTATTTTCAGTTACCTGTTTGTGCAAAAACATTAATAACATGATTATAATTTGTGTATTTTGAGTCTATATTATAAGATATAGTACCAAGATTATATGCATATTATGTATGCAGTAGAAAAGTGCCTATGAAGAGATATTGAGACTTTAAGAAGGTAGCATATAATAAATTTACTCTTATTATGTCTGTAACAGCTGTAGTTATTGAATGCTGAGTCCAGAATCTGGGTTTAAATTTTCGTTAATTTTTTTAATTTAGTCCAAACAGTTTGAATGCAAGGAGGTTAAGGAGAAATGATTATAATTAATCGTACGCTTGCGATACTATAATCTATTCTGCATAGTGGCTAATGAAATTATACCTACTCGTAATTATGTTATCGTCCAGGAGTCTCAATGTTTTTTATTCAGCTTCGATACGCAGAATGGGTTTAAGAATATAAATTACCTGTATTCGACCCGCTTCTCCAGTTGAATCCATTCTAGATGCCATATTTACTGCATTACCCCAGATATCATAAAGTGGTTTAAGTGAGCCGACAACTCCTGCTGCAACTTCCCCATTTGATATACCTGAATGTTTGGGGTAAATTAAATGGGTTGTATAACTTCGGTGATGCAGTCAACATAATTAAACATAAACATAAACATAAACACTCACGCCTGTCACCCAGAGGGGTAGGCAGAGACTACAGACTTCCATTTGGCACGATCCTGACACACCTCTCTCGCCTCCTTCACATCCATACACCTCCGCATACATGCTCGTCGGTTAAGGGTACTCCTAATTTGGCCAGTTTTCAATAAATCGCCAATTTGGTCGATAAATTTTCGCCTAGGACGTCCCTTTCCGACTCTGCCATTCACTTCTGCAACATAAATTTTCTTTGTCACTCTTTCCTCATTCATTCTTTCCACATGACCAAACCACCGAAGCATTCCTTTCTTAATCCTGGTCACAACATCATCTTGCAAACCACACTCTTCTCTTATTACACAATTTCTTACCCTGTCATTAAGATTCAGCCCTAACATACTCCTTAACGACCGCATTTCTACTGCGTTCATTCTACTCTCGTGCTTCTTCTGCCACACCCAACTTTCACTACCATATGTTAAAGTAGGGACCAACACAGCACTGTGAATTGCCATACGTGCCTTTTTCGACACATTTTGACTCTTCACAATAGAGTGCAGGGCCCCATTTACTCTATTTCCCGCATTCACTCGTCGTTCTATATCCTTATCATATCTCCCATCCCTGCTAAATACGCAGCCCAAATATACAAACTCGTCTACTTGCTCGATCAACTCCCCTTCTATTCTTATTTCACAAATCGTTTTACTTTCTTCTCTTTCAAAAACCATAACCTTCGTCTTACTTGCGTTCACTTTCATACCCCTTTCTTTTAATGATCTGTTCATTAATGTAACCATCATTTGCAACTCGGCCGCCGACGACGCAAGTATAACTTGATCATCGGCGTACAAAAGGCATTTGACGGTTAACTCACCCATTCTTAATCCGCATTCTTCAACTTTCAAATTTTGCAAACAACTGTCCATAAATAGGTTGAACAGCCACGGGGAAGCTACACAGCCCTGTCTGACACCTTTATGGATGTCAAACCAGTCCGAGTAGACCCCGTTGATCCTAACACAAGCACTAGAGTCCCTATAAAGGGACTCCAATGCCCGTATCAAGCCAGCGCTCAACCCAAATGAGTTCAGTGTTTGCCATAGCACATCCCTATTCACTCTGTCATAGGCCTTTTCCAAGTCCATGAACGCACAAAAAACCTTTTGGTTTTTGGCCAAAAACTTCTCCGCGATCATGCGCATGGAAAAGACTTGATCTGTACATCCCATTCCCTTTCTAAATCCTGCTTGCACATCCCAAATTTTTCCATCAGTTTCTTTCATGACCCTTTCAATCAGTACCTTAGCATACAGTTTTCCCACAATGCTAAGAAGGCTGATGCCACGGTAGTTTTTACAGTCCTGCTGCGACCCTTTTCCCTTATATACTGGGACTATCACGGCTTTGCACCAGTCTACCGGTACCCGCTTCAGTTCCCAGCATAAATTAAACAAGGTGTGCAGCAGGCCTGCCACCACTTCCTCTCCAGCCCTTAGCATTTCGAGTGAAACTCTATCATATCCGGCAGCCTTACCTGCTTTCATGCTTTTAACATAATTAATGTTTTTGTAATTTCTTTGAAGTAAAAATTGAGCAATAAACTACAAAAATATCTTTGCGAATTATTTGCCTTTTCTTATTTAAGGAGATTTTGTAATAGGTCAAATTATATTTACCGATTCTTAAGTTCAACCCCTCAAAGCTTTGAAAAGAACCACGATTGAAATTTCTTAGTTGCTTCATCATTGCCGCTGCAAATTCAATCATTGTCAATACTATAGCGCGGTTATATGGGCTATTTTGCTTTTTGTTTACTATGGAGTTAAATGATGTAGAATCTATAGATTCTCGTCTATTTGGATCTAAGCCACAAGCTGCCATGTATGTCCAGTCAGCCATTTTAATTTTTTCTACTTTATATATTGATGTTCCAGTTAGCAGTAACTAAAATTATATTTTTAAGTTATTTTACTAAAATAAAATCATTTTAATTTTAATTCAAAGTAATAATGTTACCCGGTCAAAATCAGAAATCACTTCATCCAATATTCGCAAAACAAACGTGTCGCTTAAATCTGCGTCATCTTCAACACCAAGCTTATAATCAGTTAGGGATGCAAACATTACAGCAACGTTATCATATTTTTCGTAATACAATTCGTCAATGGATCTATTTAAATCTAAATAAACTTGAACTGAAAATAGAAAGGTATTATAATTTTGTAAAAGTAAAGCTGTTGGATTTTTTTTTAAATTTTACAACTTACCAACATGAGCTGGTAGTATGTTTTCTAAAAGCATATTGTTAACTCTCAACATAGTTTCCGCTTCTGTTTGTTCGTCACTTAGCTGTATCTGCCATAAATGGTCTAAGCGGTTTCTATATTCAGTTGTTCGATCAATCCAATATAAGGTAAAAGTTACAAATATAACACATAGTGTATGTGATATCCTCGGATCTAATCCAACATTCCAAGTCAAATCGTTAGCGAAAAGGGATGATTTCGTTTCCCATACAATCCAAAGGTAAAATATAGTCATAATACCCGCTACTATCCACTTAAATATGAAAAATACTCTGCTAAACAGAAAATTTAAAAGCAAAGCCAAAGTCCAACATTGTGTAACGTGCTACAACAAACGAAATTATTAGTAAAGTAGAAATAAATAAATGTAATAAAAGTATTCAGAAATTTGATTACCCACGAAGAAACACAGTTCGTTAGACCGGTTTCTGTTGAAGGTTCCACATTAACTTCTGTGCATGAAATTACATTAATAATTGAAGTAACAGCAAGTCCAAAACTTATTAAAATATAAAGCCCAGTTTTAATATTCGCGGATTTTATAATTTTAACTGATATGTCATAAATTGAACGAAGTAATTGATTTTTTGGTTCATCTATACTTTTATATTTAGTCCAAAGAAACTGGAACCATATCAGTGGTTGTAACACAATCAAGCTGGTGACTAATAAGCCGAAAATAGCCCATGTGTACCACGGAAATCCATGGAACCTGTAAAAAGCTCGTAGATAGATTTTAAGAATTTAAACTAGGAATATAATGCTAATTGTAAATATTGTGTTAATAAAACTGACATTTGATATCAATGTATTTCTGAAAGATCTTTCAAGGTAATACCGTATATATAATCAGATACGTGATAAATACAACGTGATCATGCACAATGTAGTGGCGGCGTAAGGTACTAAACTTCCCCATAACATACTATGGGTGCCGCAAGAAGCGACAGAGGTAAACTGTAACAGTATAACTGATAACAGCTTAAAATAATAAAAAAGTAATATTAACATGCAACTCGTAACAAATTTTTTCTATGAAGTAATCTATGGTGAGACATATCTTCAGCAGTGAACTTTGATTGACTAATAATGGATGGATGGAAGGATGAATGGTAATCAATATGCTATTCAATTACAAACGAATTTAGATAATTATAACGTCCTTGTCTTATCATAATGTATAATCAGTTGATTGATGAGTGATATACTTAAAAATTTAACACTATCGCATAACAATACATTCATGCTGAAAAATCAATCCTTGTTTTGTAGACTACGGGTGACATGAACACACAGTCCATTTGATTGTAAGTAGATGCTGTGGCTTATAGATACTAACATCTACGATCGGTTAAGAATGAAAAAATAAAGTACGGTGTTACGCTTTAGGACTCAGATAGAATGCCTCTTCATAAATAAAAAGAGTTTTCAGATCTGTTTTACGAAACATAACAGCGTAAAATTTCAGCATAATGGTGCTGGATTCTGTGTGAGCATGGCATTTCTCCGGTTGATCAACCCATTAATGCTGCAGCTATAATGTGGTGAAGCATCTCAATCAGAAAAGATTTTTAAATGGTACTTAATGGGCAACACAGATAGAACATCGGCAATATAGCAGAGATTTTCTTAAAAATTGTAAAAAAGAGGTCTGCGGGGTATATTTTACCGACCCTTTTTACTGAAAATGAGGCATTCAATCGTAGTGCTTTAGGGTGAAAACGCATCTACATTTTAATTCTTAATCGAGGAAGGTAGAGCTATGTCTATGAGCCACAGCGTCTAATGACCATCAGGTGTCCTGTGTGCTCGTTTGTAACCTTATTCTATTTAAAAATTTAGAAGGTATTTCACAATGCCAATAATTTTATTAGACAACTTATTTTATAATTGCGGCGGGAGTGAGGGGTGGGGAGAGCAACCGCCATTTTTTTATTATTTGTTGTTAACAGGAAGATGCTGTCGCCCATTATCTGTTTCATTTTGTTCTGTTACCTCTTATAAAACCTACGTGATTATATGGGGTTTTTGATTTTCTTACGCCGTTACTACACTGTTACTATACCGTTATTACATTGTTACTACACTTACTGCACAGCGGATATATTATCGCTAAAAATAAAAAGCATTAGTGATTGCTTTACTAACATACCAATTTGTTGTTAACCCATTAATTAAGAGAATCAGTACTAAAATAATGAGACAGCAAATAATGTAATATTTGAATAAAGGATCTGGCTGTTGAAGAAACGATTTTTCCAATTTAAAATTTTTGTACATTAAAGTTATTCTGTTTAGGCTTGATTCTTTTCTAAAATAGTCTCTGAAATAAAAAAAAGAAATATTTCATTTTAGATGAATACAAATTTATTAAATTACGTATAAAATATTTAACGCAATTAACGCACACCCTCAGACACCCCAGTTAGTATATTATGTTATAATCATAATACATACACTTAATTTCTAGTTAAACATTTTATGCACTGATTATTTATCAAATTAGTTATACTAATTCCGGAAGGATGTTGTGGTCACAGTACAAATCCACGAACGCAAAGATTTAACGTGCTTGAAATAAAGTTCATTTTTCTTTATTTTTATTGAATGATAGAATTAGTAATAATACAAATAAAACTGCACTCTTAAAAGTCTTATTGCCTTAATTTACGGTCCATTTCAGTTTGTTTTGACTGTACAGATTTAGTGTGACTGTAATTTACGTAGTTTTAATTATTTTTGGGATAAAAAATTACCTATATTAAAAATGATAGGAATCGATTCAGAAATCGATTCTGAACAAACTACTTTCTCAAAGTGCGTTAATTATGTTACGTGTTGTATATCCTATTGCTAATTATAGCATACATGGTCGTTACTTCCGTTCATATTTGATTGAATAAAAATGAATATTACATCAACATATTAATTATAAAGTGAAATATTTTTATGTTTGTTTTGATTTACTGTTTCTTATAACAAATTTTCTTTCAAAACTAAAAGTTTTTTACATATAAAATAGTAACTAACTAGCAACTATGTACTTACTTGCCATTTGTCATGTCTTCAATTTCTTTTGCCATTTGTGCATCTGCTGCCTTCAACATTTGTTGATATTCGACTAGATTTTCATCCATAAATGTGGTCCGACGGATGTTTCCAAACGAATTCCTATTTTCCGATCGCTACTAGAAATATAAAGAATGCAACACATTATTGTGCAGATAAGCAGCTAGTATACAATAATAATACATAAGCTTTTAACGATGTAATAGAATCATTACTTACTCTCGAGCGTGACCGTGAGTTGATTATTTTATTAAAGCCCACCGAGGCTCTTCGAAATGGTTTGTATTCTAAAAGAGGCTGAAAAAAAAAACGATTTTAACGTGTGTTATTTACTACAAATCTGAATTCATCTAGTGGATGTTGAAAGTCAACTCAGTTTAGTTTAGACTGCTTGAAAATTTTTAACAGATAATTTCATATCGCACTCATTCAGTTTAAATAGTTTTACAAATTCCCATAATAATTTTATGTAAATAAGATATGGCCGATATATAAATATCGGCGTTTTGTATGGTGATTAATAAAAATCTAGATACAAAAAACACTGGAGCCGTATTGTGCTTGATCTGAGATGATCCTTAGAAAATGACTCAAAAAACCTTGTGGTTTTCTACGCATGATATAAATATCTCAAAGGAGACGGTCCATTTCAGGCCCAGTCTATGTACACTATAACATAAAAAAGCGAATATAATATAAAATAAAATAAGAGAATAAATCAAAATAAATTACTTGCTAAAAATTAAAATGAACTACCATTTTTTGATGATTTTACAAGATGGCGCCCTTCCAGTCATAAAATTATATGTCATAAAATAATGTAGGTAGTAGTGTGATATTTTTTTTGTTTATTCCTAGCTTCGTTTATTATGGTTTTTTTATTTCTTTGGCCATTTGGTTTTTTTATTTGAACTTTGGATCTGTTACTACTTGCTTGACTTTGCTTTTGTTTTATGGAATTCATGACTTACGTGAGATTTTGATTTCGATGGTATTGGACATAGAATTATTAGGCTTAGAAACGCAGCAGGCGCACGCAAAGTGAAGCCGTTTCAAGTTAGCCTTTTAAAGCTAAGTACGACTTTCAGCGTGTCAGTACTTGAGTCCACGTAGTCGTGTAAAGAGCTCGCGCCATTTTGCAAAAAAACAACTTACTGTGCTTTAAAAGGGTGTCACAACTCATCACATAATCATGAAAAAAAAAATCTAAAAATCTCATTTCACTGGTAATTACTGCCTAGAATCTTATATTTTTATAAAAAAACATTCATCAAAACAAAGTAATAAATCTTAAATTTGACAGACGCCAATATAATTAAAATGTTGCTAGGCATAGTAAAATATTTTACCCCATATTTTCTTATTATTATTATAATTACATACTGCCAATATGGGACTATTATTGATGTATTTTTATTTGACAAATAAAAATACCTACAATATTCACGCATGAGTAGGTATTTTTAATTGCCAAATACTTTTAGGGTTCCCACTTGCCAAGAAAAAAATGTGTTGATTTTATTTTGTTTTGTTAATGTGCAGTTATTTTTATCTTTTTTATAGTATGTGTTTTAGGATAAATACCCTATGAATTTTTTTTTAAATTCTAATAATGATTTACCTTCGCCATTTTCTAAAAAGACGATATGTTTTGCCACTAGCCAACAGTGGTGTCTTAAATTATAGTAAAGACAATAGTTAACGTTTAGCCAAAATAGCACAAAATATTTATTTTGTTTTAATGAAGTGAAGTTGATAATAACGTGAATATTATTGCCAATTTAATAACGTATTCGTTTTAATATTTTCGTCTGGTCCGACTGTTGCTGCTCAACACAGACCACCCAGCCTACGAGACATGAAACCATTACGATTTTATAATCAAATTAGTCTGTCAAGGTTAAAAGAAAGATAGGTGTGGATGGCGCGTGAGATGTAATTTAGAGATGTGTCACATCCATAAATCGTATACGTAAGTATGGGAGACTATGAAAACGTAACGTAATTATAAACAAATTAATGATGCGTAAAATACACCGTTTAATACAAGTAAAGTTCTTTAAAATATATACATGTATTTGACATGTCATTTACAACGCTAATCGCTTACCATAAATCCGTTAAGAGCGGAATGTGTCTAAGAAATAACAAACATAATACATACTCTCGAAAACCATGACTGCTTCGACCTCGGCCGCGACGGTCAGGTGAAAATATCTACATTAGGTAAAATTAACGTAATATAAAAATGTAAACCAAAATTACCTTTATTTTTTTATTAATTAAGGTTTGTAAAACTGTAATTTGGATTTCAAATTATAATTACATATAGATTAATATACACAAATATAATAGTACGACTGTTGGTCTACACAAAAAATAATAACACAATAAATAGTCTATAAACTTGCATCGATACTTTTTTGGGAATTTCTACTTACATGTGCCGCCTGCAGCCCCTCTGATTGATAGACAGATGCAAGACGCAACTATAATACTGCGTGCTTGACAAGGACAGCCTCAGAACAAGGACCAGAACACGTTGAACCCTCATGGTTTTAGTATTTTAAGATTATTAAATGATGCATTTGTCGGTGAAACGTGACTTTATCCTTCTTGAAATTACGTTTCCTGCTATCACTATCACACCACTTTACTGCGCAAGTGGGCATGTTTTACTGTTTTAATTTAAAAACATTGGAGTGCTAAGGACGCAGTGCACAGGTCTGTTGGCTGGTCACTACTAAACAGGGTAGCGTTCGTGTTCAACTGTATAGGCTCTGGTTGAGCAGATGAAGTATAGAAATTTGTCGCCGTTCGTTACATGTCTCGTAGTTGTGGTTGGTGGTCTGTGCTGCTCAATGAATTGAAAAAATTAGACTTAATCGCAAAGAAAACTAACGAAAACTAACTAATTTACGTTTCTAATGAAGTTTACTCCAGTTGTAGTATTATTATATTAATCATAATGCACACGAAAACAATTCAGAGAAAGAGCTATCTCTCGAAATTATTGCCAAACTCGTTGGTCGTTCTCTATTTCTTATTGTAGTCAATTCGCAACATCACGACACAAATCTGGCGCGGCTTATTGTAAAACGTTATGTAAGAGTTCGATGCTTATATGAATCCAAAAAAGATAATATTTCGCGGATAGCGTCATCAAAGCGGCAGTTATTTAGAAAACAGTTGCAGATGTTGGGTTATTACTTATTAAGTAAGAGACGTTTAGTTTAAGTACTTCGGTATATATTTATTTAATAAATATTTTTAGTTTAGTGTTTTATTTGAATAGTTTTTCTCCTTCCGAATCTTATTTTGTTTTAATACAAAACGCCTATTAAAAAAAAGTATATCATATATTTATATAAATATATAATACTGTATACTTATATAAATATCTTTTCTAACAGAATAATATAATGACATAAATGATTTGTGAATATTATTATAGCATGTCATATTACGTATATAAATAATTTTAATAAAATATTAATTAATAAATAGAAGTAATTTTATATTTCTCTCTTTGTAAATTATTAAAAAAAAATTAAATTTTACGACTATGTCTACTATTACACTTTGCCCATTTTTTGGGGAAATCGTCATTAACTTGCGTACATTACTCATTTGCTTGTGTGCGTGCGGGCAAACGTAATTACAGGCCACTTATGCACACATTCATTGTGTTGTTGCTTCAACTTTGAACGGAATTTTGAATGACACTATCACTTTAAGTCTAATTACTCTATCGGACATCTGTAGAATCACATTTTGAAATACTGGGCAGTTATGTAAAGAAAGATGTTTTCTAAGTTATTAAACGCATTTGAATAACATGCTTCTATTACATTAATAATCAATATTTTCTACATAAGTTCATAATGGCTGCAAAATCTTCAATTATCCTTGAGTTCACCTGTTTAAACATGTTGCCCTGTTTAAAATGTCCTCAATCAATAATACACTTTATTCGTGTTTTATCAAAAAATACAACTTTGTTTGCCCTCCCTTCGTGCTAGTTTCGAGACATTTTAGCCATTGTATATAATAAATGTATCTGATAGACTAACAGTAATAAGAGTAACACACGCTTTCAGAATTCAAATATCTGTCAATAAATTGATTAGTTACCTCATGACAGTTTACAGCTAACGTCAAAACAACATCAATTCGCCATTAGTGTTGCAGTTTTTGGTAAGAATAAAATATTAATACCATTGAAATAAAGAGAAATTCGTGGATTTGAATGACCAAAAGTGGTATAATATATTATTATAATTTATTTTCCTACTTGTACAAAACCAGGCCTACGCTTTATACATTTTTGGACCGTCTCCTTTACACTTGAAGAAAATTTCAGACGGGATGTCGTAGAAGTATGCCTGTTGTAAGCAGTCGTCTTATGACGTCCGGCGATGGTTATTATGATAATCTGATAGTAACTAATTGTATATAATTATGATAAAATATATGAAAATAATATGTAAGTTGTTTTAAAAGCATGATTTTTTTTAAAGTATTTCAGATATTATTCACTACACTGCGAACGCTGCCCAGTGGTCTGATTAGTGAAAAATTAGTTCCATTACGGATTGCCAGTATACAGCCGCAGTATCCCCGAGAAAGATATGACGTCATAAATCGTCGCCATTTTGGAACTGTGAGCACTGGCGCTTGCGATATAAGGTGCTCTCAGTACTTTGAACACGTGATCTAATAGCTTCCACGAATGATTGTTATTATTATTAATAACATCACCATCATAATCATCATTACAGCCCTTCACAAGTCCACTGCTGAACATAGGACCCCCCAAGTAATGTCACAAAGCACGGTCCTGAGCCACCTGCATCCATCGACTTCCTGCATGTCTTACTAGGTCGTCACTCCATCTAGTGGGAGGGTCGCCCTACACCACGCCTACCGGTACGAGGCTGCCACTCGAGAAACTTTTTTCTCCATCGGTTATCGGTTCTTCGAGCTATATGGCCGACTCATTGCCACTACAGCTTACTAATCCGTTGGGCTATGTCGGTCACTCTGGTTCTACTGCGGATATCCTCATTTCTGAGTTTATCACGCAGAGAAACTCCGAGCATAGCCCTCTCCATAGCTCGCTGAGCGACCTTGAGTGTCCTCTAACGGCCAGCAGTGAAGGACTACGTCTCAGTTCCATAGGTCATCACTGGCAACACGCACTGGTTATACAATATAGTTTTCAGAGTTTGAGGTATACCTGACGAGAAGATGTGTCGTAATTTCCGGAACGCTGCCCAGCCGAGTTGAATCCGTCG